ATAATAGTTGAATACTTCAGGTCTTCATAACTCCTCCCGGTTGCAAGAAATCGCAATGTTGCCGTTAATCTTTCATGTGGTGTTATGGCTTCTCTCATGATCGTATCCTGCTTTTGAATCAAAGGTGATACAAGAGACAAAAGGTTCAAATAGGTCTCTTCGTCCATTCTAAGATAATTGTGCCAGTCACGCGGATATTTTTCAGCTCACTTAGTAAGTTAATGTGAGAATAGGTTTTCCTTTTTCATCAACCATTCTTTACACAACACCGCACGCTTTTTCATTTTGGATTTTTTTTTCTTTACAAGAACAAAAGCGATCAAAGCGAGCGCATCGTCGTTCGAGCTCGACATATTTCATTAAACTACCTCTCCTTTTATCAAGCATACTTGTACGTGTGGGCCGAAGGCGATTTGAGCATACTTGTACAAAAAGCTTGAATGAGCAATGCTGGACAAGCTTGCAGTTGTGTCTGTAGCCACCTTTACAACGATGCTGCCTAAAGGCGGAAAAAATATGAATATATCGAGCTTAGCCGTCAACAGCAAGAAACATAAATACAGCCAAGAAATTATTTAGCTCATTTTTCAGTTTTTGTTCCTTATGGGGGAAAAGGTAAACCCAGATAATGCGGGGATTGGAGTAATATTCTCATGTCTGAAGAACTGCCTATTTGATTAAGTGCTGTTCAAAGACAAATAAGATTTTTTCATAGACATGCACAATCTGGCAAACCTGTTACTGGTTCTTTGGTAATTCGCGTCCTTCTGCACCTAGTGCCACATTATTCGCCTTACTATTTGTTGAATATCAACCCGTTTACCCTTGCTAACATGCTTGCCAAATTGTATCTGGTAGTCAATACTTCCACCACATTCGAGTAGATGACTTGGAGAATCCTCCTCTTCATTGCAGTATACGCAGTTTGCATACTTCTCTCTTTTCTAGTCCCTTCAGGTAGTTGTCAAAACATCATGACCTGTGAGGAAACTGTATTATTGGTTTTTTGGTATATTTTTTGTCCCTCTGCACCTTGCCCACCATCATTCGCATCACTATTGGTAAATAACAACCCATTTACCCTCGCTTACATGCCTGGCAAAATTGTCAGCAATGAGCACCTCGCCGAGCTTCGATTCCAGATGTCTCTGGTAGTCAATCCATCTACCCCACATTCAAGTAGATGATAAGGAGCATCCTCCTCTTCATTGCAATATACGCAGGAAAGGGACATCCTAGCCTTTTCAGGTAGTTAGAATAGTAACCTATCCGCATCGCTCCCTTGTTACTTTAAGTTTTAATATAAATATGGGATCAGTCTTCTAGTCCATGCGCCAGTTTGACACATAATTGTGTATAGGAATAAGATGTAAATAAAATACAGACTCATATTCATGAAATGAATATATAGATAAACAGACAAACAAACAAATTCAGACACTGTTTAAAAACATTCATTCAAAAAAACCTCTACAACTCTGCTTTGAAAGACTTCAAATTCTCACAGCACTTGACACGTACAAGTAACATGTTAAAAACGTTTGTGCCTAAAACATTAGGCGATCTAGTATTAATAGCTAATTTAGGATATGGAATACTGATCTAGTTTTTTTTGTCTCATATAAATGGTGTGCACATCACTGTTAAACCGGAAACCCCTATTTGAAAATTTATACACATAGTTCAAAAATAGAAAGTGATCACAACAGCGCGTCGGTCTTTCATCACTCTTATCGAACCTGCAATCGATCGCAAACGGTAACAGTGGCTAGTTATCGTTTTGCATAGATAAATTACGTTAAGAACTCAAATTTATCGCAACAGATTTCACCAACGGGTACACCCAGACAGAAGGACATTTGTGCAAGTGTACCAAAGACTTCGAGATACAGAAAGTGTTCAGCCCACTGATATTCGCAATCGTGAAAGACAGGTTACTGTAGAGCAGGAGGAACAAATTTTAAATATCATGGAAATCAATGCAGATATCAGCACTCTAGTCCATAGAATCCTACGGGAAAATTTGCCCTTGTTACCAGAAGACTATCCTCGCAGACTAACATTCTGTCAGTGGTTTTTGCACAAAAAACATTGAAAAATCCGTTCTTTTTTAAAAAAACATTCTAGCGACGGACGAATGTACTTTTACGC